AATGTGTTTTTTTAACCTTAAAGCATGTCAACATATTCTGTTACACCAAATACAAAAATAATGTTCTTTTTAGCAAACATCATATGACCCCTTTAAAGTCTCGTCTCTATTAATGAGCTGACAGGTTGAATCGGGAGTGTTAGATTAGTGAGACAGTGCTGGGCTGCTCCAGGACAGTTTTGAAAACCATTTCAGAAACATGTTCTTAAATGTGACTCATATAAAATATATTACATGCATGCACAGTTTTAAGGCAGCTTTAATCGCCTTTTTGGTAACTTCATTACTTGTCTGACCACGACATTGAATGCACGTAGTTTATTTCGCGCTTTGATATGAAAGGATAGGCTACAGCGTGCGCCGGCACCTTTGTGCGTGCAATTGAAGAGTACCGTTTCTGCACTCGCTTGACTCGCGCCTGACGCTGGAGTGAAGTGGAGCGCGTGTCTGAAACGTCAGTCGCAGAAATCGTTCTGCGACTGAATAAATGCACTTCTTGTCAAGAGAAAAAGTGACAGAAGCAGCAGTTTTGAGTGGGGTGGCCAACCCTAGCCCCCCGCCCCTGCGTTAAAAATTTTTAACGCGTTAAACTTTTTTATTTTGACACCACTAATTATATTATTTAATATTTTTAATATACTTTGATGAATATTATTATATTTGCACCCTGACTCCTGTCTCCAATCTTCTCCTGTCATAGAGACATTAACGTCTCTGAGATTTGCATTTTTCAGATACGCCGCTGCGTCCTGTTTGCATGCTCTGTGGTGCATGTTTCCTCATCACTTCCACGTCTGTTGTCCTTCATGCCCAAACAAAGAGCCGAGACTCGGTCCCATCCCCCCACGAGCCTCCCGTGCTCCTCCAGATTTCATCACAACTGCTTTCCTTCTCTCTCTCCTCCTTTGTCTTCCCCTCTTTTCTCTCACCGCTATCTAATTCCTCTTCTGCCATCATACATTTGTCTCTCCTGCTCGCTTCATTTCTCCCCCGTCTCGTTGTTTTCTCCTTCGCCCCTCCTCCATCTCTGGTTCTCGTTCTCTCAGCTGGCTCTTGCAGGTATTCTCAGTATGTCATTGTGGAGCACTCTGGGAGTGATTTAACCATCATACACAATCCGTTTGGCACGGCACTCGTGTCAGGCTCCATACATCACTGCCTAATGCATCCAATGGGATGAATTAGAGGCGAAATGAACCTCATGGGTTGCGGCTGCTCGTCGGTGACGTTCTGCGGCTTTGTCCTGTGAGGGACGTACACATATTGATCCGGAGCTTTATGCTCAACTTCTTTGTACCTTTGGCTTGAAAGAGGCCTGTATTTCTGGATGGATGTCATCTAACTTATTTTTTATTATTTTTTTTAAATCAGGGATTGTGAGCATTTGGTGTATTTATAGAGTAGAAACTCCACTGGCTGCCATCATTTTTGATCAACCAACATATCAACTGGACTATTCATCATCAGATTACTGCAGTAAACAGAAGTGCTGTTCTCATTGTATCAAGATCGGCAGCGGCCATTTGCACAGATATTGTGCTATTATAGACTGATTTTTGGCCAATTTTTTTAGATTATCGACCAATAATCGTGCCAGCTTGCCCAATTAGAAGTGGTTTTCCTCCTGTCAATTCCTAAATCCACTGAAAGGCTGGTCAACGGATGAGAAAAATATTATTATTACAATTTAAATTATGTATATATACTGTATATATATATAGTAGTTAGTAATGTAATCCATGTAATCCTTTACATTACACATTTCAGGTAATATAATCAGACTAAATTTTTATTACTTTTAGATTACTTTTGACCTAAATAGTTTTTTTTACATTGATTTAAATAGGATAATCTTGTACCATATTGATATAAAAATATAAAGAGAAAGAAAACATATTTCAATGATTGTTATTACCAACATGAAGTGCATCAAACATTACATTACTTCAATGTTTCCCAAACTGGACTTCATGAAGAAACTGCAGGGGGGTTGTGAGTTTAATGAAAAGTTAATGATTAATTGAATCATAAAAATGTCAAATGAAAATAAATCTTTTTAAAATTACAACAATCAAAATAAAACACTTAATAAAAACATTAAATATTATGTTGAGTCATCTGCATGTGAATATGTAATCATGTAATCAATAAAAAAACTGTAGTCTGATTATGAGTATTTTGCAGCGTAATGTAATCTAGTTACATTTTCCAGATTACGATCATGTAATCCAGATTACATGTAATCATACACATAGATAGATAGATAGATAGATAGATAGATAGATATCAGTTTTGTGTATGAAGTTGTCATCATTAAATTGCATTGTAAAATTGCGAATCCAAAATTTGCAGATCCAAATTCTGTTTCTTCATTTTCAATTAGCATAGAGCAGAAAGTTACGTCCCATTCCCAACAATGCGTATGTCAACAGTGTATACACAGGATGTGAAAAAAATCTCAAAATCATATCTGGTTCTTCATCCAATCAAAAGAATTGCATTCAGTTCCTTGTCAACTTCAGTAAGCATGAGCAAAAATATATGATGCTGATTCTGAGAAATTGCTGTCATTAGTGACATATGATTACCATCAAGTTTAAAGTGGGGCATAAAAGACATAATTGGACGAGCTCTTGGAGGTTGTCTGTGTTAAAGGTAGCAGTCAGCTGACCTATTTATCTGTTTGTCTGTCAGATGTAATGAAGCTCTCTGTCTGTTGGTACCATATGAACCTCCCAGGCCGATTCGGAGCTTCTTTGGTGCCTACATCATCTATTTCTTAAGAAACCGCCAAGCATCCCTCCATATTTCTTTGTGTTGACGCTCCCTGTCTTTCCCAGGTGCCTTGTGGATGTGTATCGTGCTGAACCCCCACTGTAAGCTGGAACAGAAGGCCGCTTGGCTCAGGCAGCTCAAGAAGTGGAACAGTGTGGACGTGTGTCCCTTGGAGGACGGTAACCACGGCAACGAGCTGCCCAATTTAACCAATGCCTTGCCTCAGGGTGCACACGGCAACCAAGGTAAGCGCGCGTGTGTGAGTGTCATGGTGGTGGGGGCAGAAACGGGGTGTTTTAATCAACCGTGTCTCCGTGCGCCCCTTTTATTAGGCTTTGTGTGACTAATGGAATGCCCCTAATAACTGCGGTTCAGTACTTCCTCCATGGCTTTTGTCCTTGCTGTGCTAATCATAACTCTGGGCGAAAGCGAGGGTTGGGGCGGGGGGGAAATAGCTCTATTGAAACTTTTCGATTAGTCAGGTCTTTTATACCGAGGCGACAACGTCTGCAGAGGTTTTATTATGTGTTTTGTTATAAATATTCATGCTCCAGACAGGTAATTGCAAAGAAATTACTTCCCCTTTTCCTAAGGCATGGGTATTTTGGGTATGAATGGGCTCTAGACTGGTTGGCACAGAGGTTGTATAGATTTAATTAGAGTTTTTTTTGTCTGGGATGCACTAAGGCTGGGTGATATAGCAAATTTTTATGATATATTGTATGTTTTTGTTGACAATAAAACAATGAATCGATGAATTAATCAATCCAGTGTGCTTTATGTGCTGTTTAAATGTTATTAGACTGTTTGGGGTCAGTAATATTTGTATTTATTGTTGAAAGAATTTTATATCTTTATTCAGCAAGGATGCGTTAAATTGATCAAAAGTGACAGTGAATGCATTTATGATGTTTCTATTTCAAATAAATGCTGTTATTTTGAACTTTCTATTCATCACAGAATACTGAAAAAATGTATAACAGTTTCCACAAAAATATGAAACAGCACAACTGTTTCCAATATTGATAATAATCTTGATAAAAATAATCTTGAGCAGCAAATCAGCATATTAGAATGATTTCTGAAGGATCATGTGACACTGAAGACTGGAGTAATAATGCTGAAAATTCAGCTTTGCATTGCAGGAATAAATTACATTTTACAATAAATTCAAATAGAAAGCAGTTATTTTAAATTGTAATAATATTTCAATGTTTTACTGTTTTAATTGTATTTTTTATCAAATAAATGCAGCCTTGGTGAGCAGAAGATACTGACCTCTGCATATAAGACCCCAAACTTTTCTGATTTAATGTCTGATTTAATTATTCATTTGTGTTATCACTCAAGAATATTTATGGGAATCTCTGCGTGGCATTGTTTACTTTGTTTGTGCATATTGAATATTGTCAAAAGGCTTGATATAATAATAATTATAGCTATATCACCCAGCCCAAGTAAAGCCACATTGCAGCGGTCATGTCGGTATCTGCACCACCTGTGAATGACAGTTCAGCTCGCTGCACTAATCTACGGACTTATTTCCGAAGGTTTTACTGTTTGCCCCTGACTGACAGGCCCCCGGGGGCCTTGCTCTCAGAGCTAGCATTGAGAATGACAGAGCAATTTCCTTTCCGTTTTCCCTGTCTCTCCTCCTCCTCTTCTTCATCCTCAGATTTGGGCACCCGGCCCCATCGGACGGTTTTCACACGAGCCATCGAGGCATGCGATCTCCACTGGCAAGACAGCCACTTACAGCACATTATCAACGACGACCTCTACACCAACTACTGTTACCATGACAACACTGAAAATTCGCTCTTTGACTCTCGCGGCTGGCCCCTGTGGCACGGTGAGCGGCTCGACCGGAAAAAGACATTTGCTTGACTTGCCTCTTTGTGTTATGCACACTATAGCATTAAGGAAAAAAGCACAGCAATGTTTAAGAAAAAAAAGCAATGAATAGCAGCTTTATAGGGAGCTAGAACAAGAGTTTCTAACAAAATGAAAGGCATTATTATTTTCTGTCTCGCTAGCCTTTTTGCGTGTGGGTGAATATGTTTCTATTGTGTCCGTCTGAGGTTTATTAAAGGATTTTTTGGGGGGTTTCTATCACAGAACACGTCCCTACGGCTTGCGCCAGGGTAGATGCACTGAGATCTCACGGTTACCCACGGGAAGCACTGCGATTGGCCATCGCCATCGTCAACACCCTGCGCCGGCAGCAGCAGAAACAGCTGGAGATCTTCCGAAACCACAAGAAAGGTGAGTTCAAAACTCAAATGGGCTGTATTGCTGGTCGAATTGGTTTCTTGCTGCTAAAAATGAACGTTTGGTAGGGGAAAGCATTTGATTATAAGTTGCAGCAGTGCATGATCTTTACATTAGCGCCAATGGTGGCACGCCTTTCCATACATCGTTTATTAATATGGTTGTATGTGGCAGGAGACAAATCAAATAGAATGATGTAATCCCTCCATATTTATGATGTAATCCCTCAGATGCACTAACATGAACTTTCCAACATTCACCAATGGTCTCTACGATCAACTTACCTTGCAATGCTTTTGGGAAACTCACCCATGTCTGAGTTTTTTTATTTGCATAATATTTAAAAGATTTTAAACCGTTTTTTAGATTGGATATACCCTCATTGCATTGCTAACAGCCACTCATGTTGCCAGAAATCATCCATTTTTATTGACTACAATGATTTACAGGTGTGTTGTATACATGTGATATAAATCTGACATGTTCTCTCAGTAATTTCCTGTCCTTTTTCTGTTATCTGTATCATTAACATTGCCAAAAAGGCCAAAAAATGGTAGCATTGTTACCCAATTATCTTTTCAGTGCTGTGTTCCTGTGCTCGGTGTTTCAGTATCTAATGGCCAGGTAACGGTTTCATGCAGCAATGCTCTTCACTAGAGCTGAATGTCCACTCATGCCCAGCAGGGCTCAGGTCAATTGCATTTAAATGCAAATGACTGCTTGTTGTGGTGAACGTGCCCACGCATAATTCATATTATTCAAATGAGGCAGCTCTATGGCCCGGTTCTGGGCTTTATGTAAAACACCAGTGCAGTGATTTCCACAAGAGACAGATGCTATAGGAAATCACAGTCTCCCATTGTTTGCCTCACAAAGTCAGACTTTCTTTATTTAATTAAATATTTATAATTTCTCTCGATTCATCTTGGATGAAAGTTCTTCGCAATGCATTCTGGGGTTCATGTGAAACACATGACTCAAGAATACTAGAAAACCAGAGTACGACTCAAATTAATAATGACTCACCCTTTTTTACCATCCAAAACAAACAATTTTATCTTTATCTCCATCTAGATCTGCTTCATAAAGGTGTGACGTCCATCACCAATCTAGAGGGATGGGTGGGCCACCCTTTGGACCCCATTGGAACGCTCTTCAGCACGCTGATGGAAACGGGCCGTGGGGATGAAGACAGTTTGCAGGGAGGGTTCCTAGATTTCTCAGGTACAGAGACGAGAGATGCCGCATCATGATTCATGTTATTTACAGAGTGTTTTTACGAATTAGCTAAAACTGTCAAGTCCTATTAACACCCTGTTAAAGCGTCAGGCGTCTTAAGCATCCTCTGTAATATTTATAGTTAAAACTGTTAATGTAATGCATCATATTTCATGTGCCATGTGCTCCACTTAGGAAAAGCCCGTCTGTAAATCATACATCGTTTTTGCTTTGTTATCGACGACATCCATTTGCAACAAGAGTTTTCAGCGTTTTACACCACTGTAGTAGGACCGATCAACCCTCTCTCAAATTAACCTCACGTATGCTACTACTTTAGACTCTGATTAAAAAGATATGGTATATATTAAGAGTAAAGCATGAGTCTCTTTTATCTGAGCCTAAAAGTCTATTCTTCCCTGCTGCATTTTTAATGCACTTTTAATTTTCATGTTTTCTGTTCCCATCTCTTATTCATGAGCTTTGATTGGAGAGATGACTGTATCACAATCAGAGAACACGGTGCTGCAATTAAACATTATTGTTGCCTTTGGCCTCATGCCCATTCTGATTGGCACCAGAAAGGGTCGGTGCGTTCACCCGTCTAGAGCAAGCCTACTCAAGATTGAGACCGTTGAGCCACTAGTCTAGTGTATGTGCAAAGTTCTATCCACAGTTGAACCCCTTAACAAACTTATACCGGATTAGGAGTCTTATGGTCCAAAAGGGATTTTGATGAGGATAGGATTTTGCATGATACCGGATATCTGTGGACTATGTAGGGGCTGTAACTTTGCCTGATGTATCCCAACGTAGCCCTCCTAACCTCCCAGCTTGCTGTCTAGGGCTTCCTTTAGATTCAGTTAGTCCAAGAGTAGACAAGGCTCTCCTTAAGCCAAAGCACTGGCTTTTATTTCTTTCTTGCTGTGGTTGGCTTTGAACTTTGAGTTTATTAGGGAAGGAGAAAGAAAAAGATTTGGTGGAGGGTGTGCAGAATAAAAGAAGGTGTGAAGCCTCGAGCTTCCCTCTTTGTGCTCCTTTTTGATTAGGACATTAAATCCTCCCGGAGCCAGCCACACGAGTCCAAAGAGGCATCATTAAAACATTATGATGCTTCTCATTATTAGCCTCAAATGAGTCACCAATGGTATTAATATGTAACCGAGGACATGGAGCTCTGGATTCACTTTGCTGTTAAAGGGATAGTTCACCCAAAAATGAAAATTCTGTCATTAATTACTCACCTTCATGTCATCTTACGTATACCCGTAAGACCTTCGTTTATCTTCGGAACCCAAATTAAGATATTTTTGATGAAATCCGAGAAAACAAAGCCTTGTTTCTAAGCAGAGGAATGCACACGCAAGCGTCGTGGTACTCTCTTGAATAGCGGCAGACACTGACAGGAAAGAGAAGAATTGTTGAATAAAGTCGTTATTTTTGTTTTCTTTGCGCACAAAAAGTATACTCGTCACTTCATAAAATTACGGTTGAACCACTGATGTTACATGGACTATTTTAACGATGTCCTTACTACGTTTCTGGGACTTGAACGTGGTAGTTCCCTTGCTGTCTATGGAAAGCAGAAAGCTCTCAGATTCCATCAAAAATATCTTAATTTGTGTTCTGAAGAAGATGGAAAGTCTTACGGGTTTGGAACGACATGAGGTGAGTTATTAATGACAGAATTTTCATTTTTGGGTGAACTATCCCTTTAAAATAATAATGACATGAACGATCAGAAATCCAGGGTATTTTGATGTTGTTTTTTTTATACATGGCCCGTTTGCTGTTTTTCAAGGTTTTAAGGGAGGGGTTTGCGCAAAAGTCCTTTTGTTTTAATCTAAGAATATCTTTAGGCCTTCATGCAAATTGCATCTAATTTTGGCCCTGTGTTTGCTTGGTGGAAAATCAGTTTTAGAAACCTCAGGGATAGCTCGTTAAGGCCAATTAAAAGCCTGGAATTAGTGCTGAGGGGTTGATGGTGCCCAGCCAATCAGATGGGTAGATTTGGTTCTTAGGTACAATTCCTTACAGTCAATCAAAAGATGAGGAATATGTTTGGATTTGGATCTGAGGGACCGACTCCCTAACACCAAATCCAGCTTTTTGATTGGCTGCAAAGAATTGGTTCCTCACAGCCAATAAAAAGACTGGACTTGGTGCTGAGGGATCAACCTCTCAGCCAGTTAAAGAAATTGGTGTAAGTAACTCACAGCTAATCAAAAGACTGGTTGAAGAGTCAGTCCTTAGCACCATATCCAGCCTTTTAATTGGCTGAGAGGTCATTCCCTTGGCACTAAAAACAGCATTTTGATTGGCTGAATGGCCAATCCTCAGCGCAAAATCCAGCCTTTTCAATCGACTCCTGTGCAACCAATTAAAAAGCTGTATTTGGTCCTTAGGGATTGACCTCTTAGCAAATTAAAAGGTTGAATTTGGTGTTAATCAAAAGGCTCGATTTGGTCCTGAGAGACTGCCTCAGCACCAAATCCAGCTTTTTAATTGCATGCAAAGGTTCTATTCCTCACACCCAGTAAGATGATTGGATTTGGTTCCGAAGGATCGACTTCTCAGCCAATTATAAGGCTGGATTTGGTGCTAAGGATAAGTTTCTCAAAGCCAATCGAAAGACTGGTTGAGGCATCAATCTTTAGTACCATATTCGGCCTTTTAATTGGCTGAGATGTTGATCCCTCTGCACTAAATGCTGCCTTTTGATTGGTTAAGGGGCTAATCCTCGGCACAAAAACCAGCCTTTCCAATCGACTCCAGTGCAGCCAATTAAAAAGCTGGATTTGATGCCGAGTTGGTAGGAAGGCTTGCGAGGCTCAGAGCTGCATGTCGGAGTTGGCGTTCATGTAGCTGGAGATCAGTGAAGAGTGAAGTGCAGGGGCTCAGCCTGTCTGTCTCGCTCTCTCCTGGTTTCTAAATACAGCCTGGGCCTCGTCATATCCAGTAGCATTTCGCACCATCTCACAGATATGAATGTGATGCATGGACCATCCGATGCATTTGCGAGTCCAGGGTACAGTGTATTACCTCAGTCACTGAGGAGCCTAATTGAGCATGCCTTGCCTTATGCCCTATCAGGCTGAGCTGCTTCATTAGACCAGGCAGAGTTCCTCTCTGGTGCCGTATTATACGACAAGACCTGTCTTAAGAACCAGTGCCTGGGAGGAAGGTCTCACTACGGTGGTTAACTCTGGAGGTGTCACCACCTCCCGGTTTCTTACGCTCTTTCTGTTTCTCGCCCTCTGCAGCCAGCACAATGAGCTCGAGCAAGCACAGCGAGCTGCACTTGTTTCCATCCACGCGCCGCTTCCTGGAGGAGGGTGAGTCATATCTGGCCCTGGCGGTGGAAACGGCCCTGATGGGACTGGGTCAGCAGAGAATCATGCCCGATGGACTGTACACCCAAGAGAAGGTGTGCCGCAACGAGGAGCACCTGATCGCCAAGCTGCAGGAAGTTGACCTGGACGATACCCTGGTCAAGATCTTCCGCAAGCAAGCCGTCTTCCTGTTAGAGGGTAAGTCTTGACGATTTCGCACATTTACAGTGCGAGAGAATGACAGCAATGCTGTTTGTTTTTCATTAACTGAGGCTGAAAGCAAGAGCCTGGGGAAGCAATTTGGACATAGCTAACAATTCTGGAATGGGTGCATCTGATTTCCTCATGCGTCAGCTTAATATCTAGCCAAATAGTTTCTGAAGCATGTCTTTAAATATCTGCTCTAGAATAGCACGTACTGTATACCAAGGGTGTCCAATTCTGCTCTCGGAGGGCTGCCTTCTTGCATAGTTTAGCTACAACCTGCTTCAACACACTTGACTGAAAATTTCTAGTAATCTTGAAGACCTTGATTAGCTGATTCAGTTGTTGTTGTAGAAGGTGTTGCTCTGGACGTGGTACTGTATATGCATGAAAAATACATAGTAAAATCTAGGGATAAGACTAGGGATCTAGACATAAAGTTCGCATGTTGCTAAGCTAATCTATCTAGGGATCACAACATCATGGATGACTTCCCTGCAAAATTCGCCACCATGATGTTGAAGTTAGCTTAGCAACATTCCCAGTATTTGCTAATCCATTTCTAATGTTTCTGAATAATTTCTAGGGCATTGGTCGGGTGTTCTGGGTGGATGCTGGTCAGATGCGAAGGTAGGGCCTTGTTAGATGGTTTCTTACTTTGCAAGGCCCTAGTACCACTAAGAATACCTTAGCAACTGACTCTTAACCACCTAGAACTGCCTAGCAATGTCGTAGAAACCATTCAGAACCTTAAGCAATGGATTAGCTGGCAAAGTTGTGAAGTTAACTTCAACATCATGATGGCATGTTTTGCAGGGGCAAGAACCATTCTTGTTTTCTTCAGAAAACCTAGTTGTTTTCCTCTTTTAACAAAGTTTCAGACTCCGTTTCATTTCCCTCAGAGCAGTGTTCAAGCATGTCTAAAGGCGCTCAGTGGTGGACGAGGCTGTTTGTTTCACTCGCGGCTGGTGTTGGGAGTAAAACGAAACGGTCTTTGCCTCTGAATGCCACTGGGTTGTTTTGAAAGAATGAAGAGAAACCGATAAAGTGACCCCGCTGTGTGGATTCCTCCACCCAGCATATGCCAAGAGCATGACGGGGGCCCAATAAACAGGAAGGCATGCATTCTATTGGCTACAGGGTTTGGGGGAGTTCTGGCCAAATGTGAAAATCCATCAAAACAAGAGCGTTCTCACAATGAGAGGCATCCAGAGCACGTCACCCCCTTCCAGCACACGCTGTAATAGAGTTAGCATGCTCAGCTGTTGTGTGTGAGTGTGTGTGTTTTCAGTTAGTATCTTCAGCAAGACGTGACTGTAGCTCTGTTCCAAGCCCTAGTGAGCTGCCTTGCTGTCAACTGGCTACATAAGCAGATACTTACTAAGGTTCAGTTGAACAGTTTGACCAAACACTGTATTCTATATGGGAAGATGTTCAACGTGCAAAATGGCGGAATATGTCCTGCATTTTATTTATTTTTTTCCTCAAAGCTTGTCCAAAGGCATTCTGGGAATGCATTTGCTGTGAAGTATACATGCAGTGCTGTGGTTATAATTTAACCAAAACAAGGGATGTTATGAGGCAGCATGATCATGCCCCGCAAAAAAGGCAATCCCAGAATACTTTGCAACAATCTCTGTGGAGATCATGAATCCTTGATGGCTAATTATTCGAGATAAATACATTCATATTTAGTTATACTAATATATATATAATTTTATGAAACGTTTGTGTGTAATGTATTTTTATTCTTACAGTTAGCTTAGCAATATGCTAACTAGTCAATTTTCATGAGCTTCACATGAGGAGCGCTATTTGTGAGTTTCTGTCTATTTAGAGCATCACATTTGAGGTTTTATTTTGGTTAAGATGCTGCCTAGGTAGCTGTCTATGTAGGGAGCACGTATGCCTCTTATGAATGTTTATTTTGGGTAGTTTGTCGGTGTCTGTTTGTATGTCCAGTGCCATGTGTAATTGTGAAGTGGCTTGTGGTCGCTGCCCTCTCAGTCGAAAATAATCTAATGACAGGGAAAGCTAAGCTCTCACATATGGCTTCTAGCATTGCAGTTTATATTGTAGGCAAGTGTGAAAAGGCCTGCATGCTTGAAAGTGAGCGTGTGGTTTTCATCTGGTTTGAGGATGAGGAGGGGGAGGGTCTGTAAAACGATCTGTGAGCAGATTACCCACAATGCAGCACTCGCCCCAGAAACACCACGGCCTGCTTTTTGTGCATTTCACCTGGAAATGGATAACGTTACTTGTCGCTTTTCAGAGAAGATGTTATCCGTGTTCACTCTTGACCTACAGTATGACCAAACTATGATGCTGGAAAGAAACCAATGGTGATATGCTTACAATACCATAGTGGTATTTGAAGTAGAATGCAAATACCTTTAAAGTTATGGTAGCACCAGTACTTTGTGGTTTTGATGTGTCATGCAGAAGGGTATCTTGGGTGTGTGTGCATCACTTGGTTTTGTGGTGAAACATGAACCCCCAAAGGCGTTTCTTTCTTACATACACACTCTTACACGCTGTTTGTACCTACAAATCTGTGCATTTCTAACCACATCTCACACCTTCAGGAGGGCATGTGCTGTATCTTCTTAAGTTCTACAACAGTTTTATTCAAGTCATTGTTCACACTTTTGCATTTTCAGACTTGCTGTTAATATTGGTGATGGAAATAACTAATGAAATGTAAGAAATTGCTTTCTCTAGGTTTCATCTACATCTTATGTGTCTGTATGTGCTGTTTTAAACATTTCACAGAAGTTTTACACCTTAATAAATTGAGTAGTGCATATGAATGAAAATTAATAACTGTGTTCATTTAAATCAGTTTCACAAACTGATGAGTTGATGCAAAGCTAATATTTAATTACATTTATAAAAGTGTCAACTTAAAATAAATCTGTAGTTTTAAATCATGAGAAAAAAAAATGTTAACTTTTATGTCATATGACCATTAACCTACATTGAAGAACCATAAAAATGTGAATGTGTTAAATTTGTCATATTAACTTAAATCTGCAAATCCTACCATTAAATAATAGAAAAATAATGCAATGCAAATTTATACTGAAATTTGAAATGCAATGGTTTATTGAGCCTTTACCCAACATCTAAAACATCTGTAATTTATCATATTTGATAATCAGAATTTTATGGCTCATACAGTGTGATATCGTGAAAAATTGGAGCTTAAAGGGAAAAAAAACGACCTCAGTTTTATTCAAAGGCCCAAGCTGAGCAAAAGTGTGCAATTTGGTGCAGTTGTTAAAGGCCTTTTACTTGTTAAAAAACTAAGAGTAGTTCTAGTAGATTGTGTACAGCAGGTTTGATCATGTTGATCATTTAGAGGCTTGCGTTTTAAATATGTATATATAAATATATACATATGTATATATGCATATTAAATATGTAGTATAGTAGGTTTTATAGGGTTAAAATATCAGGGGGGACTTAAAGTAAATATAAAAATTGGCTGACAAAAAAGTTTAGGAATCCCTGATTTATATGGTAACTGCGATTGTTCCTGGATGTTTTTGTGTATCTGAACGGGTGTGTTTTTCTCTTGCAGGTGGGCCCTACAGTGGTTTGGGAGAGCTCATCTATAGAGAGAGCGTTCCGATGCACACGTTTGCCAAGTATCTCTTCACATGCCTCCTACCTCACGATGCTGAACTGGCGTACAAAATTGCACTGAGAGCAATGCGGTGAGTTTCCACAGGCCGCACGGGCGACACTCTGCTCCCAAAACCGTCACGTCCACCTACAGTAAAGAACACGCCCACGGCTGTGGCTTAGTTTCCCCTCGCATCTATTGTTTTTACCGTCTTTACTCACTCTGAGAAGGCACGGTTAAGTCTTCGCTGATTCTCAGATGTGTGTGTGTTGGGCGTGAGGTTATCTGGGGCTCCGTTTAATCAAAAGGCGCTTTTTGCTTGGAAAACTGCTAAATAATTCATGGCCACTGAAAATGAGTTTTTGAAAAAGTGTGAATAATAAATATGTGTCGTTGAGTCTAATTTGGGCTGCAGAGGTAACGCAGAGCGCTCTTTTCACCCCACACACCCCCTCGACTCCCTGTGTGCGTTTGTGGCCGTTTGTGTACGTGCGCCTGTTACAAACCCTGTGTGTGTGTTAGCGTCAATTTTACATTATCAGCAGCAGTTATTCATGCGCCTTTACAAAACCTGTTTAATACATATTTTGAATATTTAAATGAAGTCTTTGTCAGCATATACACACGCATACACAACACATTCATGAAACACAAGCAGAATGAAAATTGTTCAACTATTCTTGCATAAATTGACATTCGTTTCAAAGCAACAATTTATGCTTAGCTTTACAAATTATTAACACCAAAATCAGTTCTGCTTGTTCTTATGTAAATTTTCGCAATTACTTAATTACTTAATTTGTAAAAATTGGAATCTTGCCAAAATTAATGTTTGTTTCAAAGCAACAATATACGTTTGGTTTTACGAAATAAGAAGCAAAATTTATTTTCTTGTAGTAATTCATTAAATTAAGCATAAATTGTAACTTTGAAACAGCTAATATGTACATTTACGCAATTTTTTTTACCAAAACTTTACACACAAATATGTACATTTACATAAATTATGTTCTGCTTGTTCTAATGTAAATTGTCACGTTCACGTATGTATGTTTCCATCCAATTCGCTAATTTAATATATGCGCAAAATTGGATTCTTATGTAAATTGCTATATTCGTTTCAAAGCAACAATGTGTTTCGTTTTACGAATTAACACAGAAATCACTTCTGCTTGTTCTTATATAAATTGTTGCATTCACCCAAGTATAGATGTTTCCATCCAAGTTGCAAATTTAATATATGCGCACAATTGGAATCTTGTGTAAATTGGTATTTTTATTTCAAAGAAACAATTTACGATTTGTTTTATGAATTATTAACACTGAAATCAGTTCTGCTTGTTCTTATGTAAATTTTCACATTCACTTCCATATGTATGTTTCCATTCAAGATGCAAATTTAATATATGCGCAAAATTGGAGACACCCGTTTCAAAGCAACAATATGTTTAGTTTTACGAATCAACACAGAAATCAGTTCTGCTTGTTCTTATATACGTAAATATAGATGTTTATATCATAGATGTAAACATTTATGCAAGAATGATTCTATGAATGATTTACAATGAAATTTGTGTGAGTGCCGATGTGCAACAGAAATTAATAAACTGTGTCCTAAATAGGTGTGATGCAATAATTTGTCCGTCCACACTGAAAGTGAAAATGTTGCGCAACGCGATCACAGCCAGTCTGACCGTATTTGATGTTTAAATGCAGTTAAGCACAGTGGACTCGTGAGATTTCGCTGTGACCATCAGTGTTATCTTTGATTGTATGTTGCTTTATGGCTGGTTCTGGCAAGATTTCCAACTTCAGGCTGGTCCAACAGATTTATATCGACATCTTGTCACGGATTTCCTCTCATATGTTTTATTAATTTTAGTTTTTTGACCAACCTACATACACACAAAAAAGTCCTGTTACCAAATCTGTCTGGTATTGTATTATATTTTGATTGGATTGTGTTTACCGGGGGATTTGCAGCTCAGGATACACGTATAAAGTCGATGGTATCAAACAAAAATCCACCTAAATTTAGCCAGCGCAGGAGCTTCGGGATCAGTATGGACTTTCTCTATAAAAAGACCGTGGCTTCCAAATAACTGCTCTCCATGGCATTGGCTCAGACGAGGGCTGATCTCCTCATAATACAATTCCCTTTGTTAGATGGCTTGGTAATTAGCTCCATGCCAGGACACGATGCTTGGACATATTTCCGCTGCACTGGAGGCGAAGGACGAAATCCTGCTCTGACATGAATATGCATGATGAGATAGATGATTTTTAGTAGCATATGATCGGAAAGCCAGGGTAGCCTCAGAAAACCATCAAAGATGCCCAACATGCAACTAACAGCCAGTTTACAAAGTCATATTTGACATCTGTGTATAATGAGGATGTCCATTTTTGTAAGTGCACAGCAAAAATGCACTCCTATTTAGAGTATGGAAGATCTCTGATGATCATGTCATGATTAAAACGTGGTCGAATCCAGTCGGATGCGCCTGTTGGCCTCGTTGTAGTATTTCAGAAGCGCAGTAAGTGTCCAGACAAACAGGATGGTCAGTAATGGAGTGTGTGTAAAGGCCGCGGGACGCCTCCAGGCTCATGTTAGTTGGCTAAAACAATACAGCAAAACCTCTGTTTGAGAACGACACACTGTTCTTTCCCAGAGGAAACTACTGCTGTGGTTCTAGAGCAGGTGAAATATTCAATATTGTCCCATGGTACCGCAATTTATTATTTACATTTATAAATCAGTCCTTTTAATAACATTTAAAGTTTTTTTTTTTTAATAACCTGATATATATAGTAATGATAAAGTGAAATTCTATCTATGACATCAGTGTTAGATAATGAATGCATTAATATAATTTTTATTAATGTAACATTAATGAAATATATGTATTTATTATTATTAATATATATCTATTAATAGTAAAATATATATATATATATTTAAATATAGAATTTATTATAGAATTTAGCCTACTGAATATAATACTATATATTATCAAATTATATGTGTGTGTAATAGAAATTAAATATAGAATATTTATGATTGATTTATTTTTGCAGAGTACATTGAATAAAATTTAATATATATAATAAATAAACATCATATATATATATATAGTACATTTATAGTGTATTGAGTAATATTAAGTTATATATATATAATTATTAAATTATATATTATCAAATTATATATATATAAATAAAATACTAATTAAATATAGAATTATAGAATGAAAAAAAAATATATATATATTGTATATATATTGTATATTGTCCACATGTAATGATTAATTTAAACTGATTCACAAATATTTTAATGAATCTATACCTGAGATTCATTTATTTATTTCTTTTCTTGTACGGTCTGTGATTACAGCAGACCACTCATAGTAAATAAATGGGAGAAATCATGGTTGTCGGAATGGAAATCCCGTCTTTCGTGCACATTAGTTGGAAAAACCTGAAAAATACAGTTTTAGGCTAAATATGCAACATTTACTTATACCACTGTTGTGTTTTATTGATGATTGACTGTACTCCTCCACAGGTTATGGTTTGGAAAATATCTGTATGTTGATCTGTATGTCTTTTTTTTGTTTGCAGGTTACCAGTGTTGGAATCCATGGCTCCTTCGGGCGACATGTCCCGGCCTCACCATATAGTATCAGTCGTCCCCAATCGTTACCCGCGATGGTTCACCCTCAGCCACATCGAGTCCCAGCAGTGCGAGCTGGCCTCCACCATGCTCACTGCAGCCAAAGGTTAGACCGTCGCATTGGCCAGCACGTCCATCACTCATGGGCAGGCTGCTATTACTGTGACAACAGCGCTGTTTGCTTAATGGCAGGCCTGACATCAATGGAAAGCTTATTTGTTCAGCTTTCAGATAACAAAATGAGTTTTAAGATCAATTATAAATGAAAAGTTGTCCTTTTATGATTGCTTGGACAAAATGCTGCATATTTCTTTGTGTGTAGATTGAAATTTTAAAACAAACCCCAAATCAAATAAATAATACAAATAAAAGAAATCTCTTCATATAAACAAACTAAGGCTTTGTCTGTGCTCTTTCCATTCAAAATTAGAGGCAACCACTGCACTTTATTCATGATCCAAACAAAGATGCTGAATACAATTTTTAAAAAAAGGCAAGAAATTTTTAATCTAAATTACATTGTATAATTTAAAAATTTGAAGCTAAAACAGAATGGTCTGACTTAAGCTTTGTGAAACCATATTACATAAAACATCTGCACAAAACAAAAACAGCAGACGGGCTGAATGAGAACACAAATTCACTCTCTGACAGCAGGTGGCGTTTAGGGAACAGCAGCAATATAGCATTTCCTTGGTTACCGCTGTAAACAAAGCAGCACTGCACTAATAACACTCAAATGGATTATACAGAGGCAAAATGACAATGCCATCTAAACACACACACACACATTCATATGTAATAAATATATACATCATTTATATATTTCATATATGTCTGTGTGTGTGTGTGTAACTTTTTGTTCGGTGCATAATTTGCATACTTCCGTGTGTTTTATTTCATAGTTTTGATGGCTTTACTGTGTGGAAACCATTCATACAGAACATTCTTATGTCTTAACATGCGTTATTTTTTTCGGTGTTGTTTGTAGGTGATGCTCGAAGGTTAGAGACAGTATTAGAGACCATACAGAAGAACATTCACTCCTCCTCTCATATCTTCAAACTGGCGCAGGATGCCTTTAAGATAGCGACGCTCATGGACAGTCTGCCGGACATCACTCTGCTGAAGGTCTCCCTGGAGCTGGGTCTTCAGGTATCCATCCACCTCTTCATCCATCAGCACACTGTGATCTCCACTTTACCTGTTTTTGCCCATTTCCTTGCGTTTTCTTTTCTAATAAATCGCAGGTAATGCGTATGACGCTTTCAACACTGAACTGGCGGCGGCGAGAGATGGTACGATGGCTAGTCACATGTGCCACAGAAGTTGGTAAGTTTCACTGTTACCAGATTTTGTCCAGTTACAAAAAAGCAATTAGGCAATCAAGGCTGTTACAGTGATTTTACCATGGTATGGTAGCGAAACTGGGTTGAATAACCGAATAATCAGCCATGAGGGACTTGTTGCTTATATAAAATTGCAGCAATTGAAATTGAAATTTTAAAGGGGGCATAACACACACAGTTTCACCCAATCTCATGTTAATCTTGAGTACCTATAGAGTAGTACTACATCCTTCATATTTCCAAAAAGTCTTTAGTTTTATCATATTTATAAAAGAAATATACAGCTTTACGATTCTCTCCGGAAAAAGCCGAGCTCCTGGAGGCGCGCCGTGGGCAGAGCTAAAGAGTGACGAGCACTTGGGCGCCGAATGCCAGCAAAACAGACATTTGATGCCGTTTCACTTACCGTCAGCAGTTCTGAATCATGACCGGGATCTTTTATAGCTGGGACCGCTCCATCTTTCAGTATCAAACGATCCGATGTGCAAATCTAGCGTCGAACTGGGCCTTGTTTATAAAACGTTCGTCAACAAACACACTTGTGAAACTCCGTTGCTGCCCCGGAAAAACAAACTCGGGGCCTACATCAACACGACGCACTCGCGGCTCACGCACATCAGCCCGCGGCACTACAGCGAGTTCATCGAGTTCCTCAGCAAAGCCAGAGAGACTTTCCTCATGGCGCACGACGGACACATTCAGTTCACACAGTTCATAGACAACCTGAAACAGATATATAAAGGCAAAAAGAAACTCATGATGCTCGTGCGCGAGCGGTTCGGCTAGTCCACCTTTGTACGCTTTTTAAGTAAAAAAAGAAATGACAAAAACAATTCAAACCACACCGGTATTATGTGTATAGACTTACGTTTGCGTAAAAAAAACGGGAAAAAAAAAGTGGAACGTTGTCATGTTGTGGAAGTTTGTGCGTTTCCCCTTTATTTGTGTGAAAGCGTGTGAGAGTATGTCACGATGTTACGGTTTACACTGAGTATATGTTGTCCAGTGGCGAAAGTCCACACAGCACTCCAGATCTCTCTGTTAAACATTCACAGCCTCAAAGTGAAGAAGAAATATGGCTTTAAACCAAACAACACCTCCATCCTAAGTGACAAGTACCTCGTACGGCTTCAGCTTTACTCCTTCCTGAACCAGTCACACGTTACCAGTGTACTAAAGAAGTGTTAGAAACGAGAAAAACAAAAACACATCTCCATTTTTTGAGTTTCCTTTTCAGTTCACCAGGCTAATTGCGTGGCTTTGCAGTGCTGTTTCGTCCAAAAGCATGTCTCTCGTGCACACACACACAGTCTTCACCCCCATTGTGCTTCCCTCGTTTACGTCATGAAGAGCCACGATCGAAAAAAACTCTACGAAACTTGCACGAACCCGGAAGTAAGATTTTTGGCACAGAAATAAAATTGCAGTAAATGCCTTTTGATTTTAAAAATACTATTCAATAGTTATTAAGTTTATTAGTAGTAAAATAATATAATGAAATTACTTTTATTAAATAATAAAATAATAATTGTTCCACAGTTATTGCAAAAATTATAATAAAAAAAATTGATCATGAAAATGAAAATCATCATGGATGCATTATTAATTTCATGAATTAAATATTAACATTATAAAATTATACAAGTATTTTAATGTAAAATATATACATATTATATCAAATATAAAAAATATTAAATATTGTAAAAAAAAATTATATAATTTATAAAAATATATATAATTACTTAAATGTATTTATTACTAACATTTATATACCATCAAATAAATTCATAAATTATATATTTAAATTGTCATTATTTAAATTAATCAATAAAATCATTTAGAAATGGCAAATTACTTAATATGACATTTTGTGTATAAATATAATTTATGACTTTTTGATTAAATATCATGAAGACTTTTTATGTGCTCTGACAAATTAAGCACAGTACGAACATGTATAAAGAAAGTAAACAGGGACAGTTTTGTTTTTTGGAAGTTGAGTGACATTCTGCTCGCCTGTCTGTGTCTGCAGGGGTCTACGCACTGGACAGCATCATGCAGAGCTGGTTCACCCTCTTCACGCCCACCGAGGCCACGAGCATCGTGGCCACCACGGTCATGTCCAACAGCACCATCGTACGGCTGCACCTGGACTGCCATCAGCAGGAGAACCTGGCGAGCAGCGCGCGGACGTTAGCCCTGCAGTGCGCCATGAAGGACCCTCAGAACTGCGCGCTGTCGGCTCTCACGCTCTGCGAGAAGGACCACATCGCCTTCGAGACGGCCTACCAGATCGTGTTGGATGCGGCCACCACGGGCATGAGCTACACGCAGCTGTTCACCATCGCGCGCTACATGGAGCACCGCGGCTACCCCATGCGCGCGTACAAACTGGCCACGCTCGCGATGGTGCATTTGAACCTGAGCTACAACCAGGACACACATCCCGCCATCAACGATGTGCTGTGGGCTTGTGCGCTCAGCCACTCGCTGGGAAAGAATGAGCTGGCCGCCATCATCCCGCTGGTGGTGAAGAGCGTCAAGTGTGCCACCGTGCTGTCGGACATATTGCGGCGTTGCACGCTGACCACGCCTGGCATGGTGGCGCTGCACAGCCGCAGGAACTCTGGGAAGTTGATGTCATTGGACAAAGCCCCACTAAGACAGCTCTTGGACGCTACGATCGGGGCCTACATCAACACGACGCACTCGCGGCTCACGCACATCAGCCCGCGGCACTACAGCGAGTTCATCGAGTTCCTCAGCAAAGCCAGAGAGACTTTCCTCATGGCGCACGACGGACACATTCAGTTCACACAGTTCATAGACAACCTGAAACAGATATATAAAGGCAAAAAGAAACTCATGATGCTCGTGCGCGAGCGGTTCGGCTAGTCCACCTTTGTACGCTTTTTAAGTAAAAAAAGAAATGACAAAAACAATTCAAACCACACCGGTATTATGTGTATAGACTTACGTTTGCGTAAAAAAAACGGGAAAAAAAAAGTGGAACGTTGTCATGTTGTGGAAGTTTGTGCGTTTCCCCTTTATTTGTGTGAAAGCGTGTGAGAGTATGTCACGATGTTACGGTTTACACTGAGTATATGTTGTCCAGTGGCGAAAGTCCACACAGCACTCCAGATCTCTCTGTTAAACATTCACAGCCTCAAAGTGAAGAAGAAATATGGCTTTAAACCAAACAACACCTCCATCCTAAGTGACAAGTACCTCGTACGGCTTCAGCTTTACTCCTTCCTGAACCAGTCACACGTTACCAGTGTACTAAAGAAGTGTTAGAAACGAGAAAAACAAAAACACATCTCCATTTTTTGAGTTTCCTTTTCAGTTCACCAGGCTAATTGCGTGGCTTTGCAGTGCTGTTTCGTCCAAAAGCATGTCTCTCGTGCACACACACACAGTCTTCACCCCCATTGTGCTTGCGCTTGTGGAAACTTAGCGACTGTCGACATACATCTCAGGGATTCTCTTTGAAAAAAAAAAGGAAAAAAAGAAGAAAAAAATGGTCATGAAAGAATGAGAGCATTTTATTGTACTGTATATATGATAGTATATGTCTGAATATTGAAAAAATGTATACGTTAACTAATTTATAAAAAGAATATTCTATGTAATGCAAAATACTTGAAGCTGCAGTACCTTGGTTTGAAACAAAACATATCAGAGGGACTAAACGCGAGCCTCGGGCTGTGTTCGGAATGGAAGGCTAGCGCGCTGCTTACTGCGTGAGAAAATAGTATGCGAAACGGTAGGCATTATTCCACAATTAACGTTACACGTGATTTCATGACGTTGCATGTTTAATTCAGTTAATCTTGAAAATGAACCTGGGTGTTTTTCACATTTCATCCCATTTAAAGCGCATTGCACAGTATCCATACTACACACTGCAGCCGCAGTAACCGTACGCTAGCGTGTTATTGCGAACACAGCCGTGCTGTCGGGGCTGGATTCGGGCAGTGACCCTGTGTGCTGGGTATCTATGCAGAGCCACCTCCGATGCACGATCCGAGCGGTCTGGGATGCGTTGGCGTAGACCCGACCACACAGGGCACCAGTGGTTTGGACGGACACCCAGTGAACCAGAGCAGCAAGCCTTAGCATTAAGAATTGGGAATGCAAGAAACGCAGGCCCATGTGCCTCAAAAAAACGCCTAGAAATGTAGATCCAACAGTATCGATGTTAACGCAAACATGCCGAGCGATTGGGCCTGACGCTCTTGTTTCTTTCCACAATAATCGAGTCACGACGAAGCTCCATTTTTATGCACAGTATCATGTACATGCCTATCTGCTGACATCTTAACTTTGTACAAGACAGAAAGTTGCTGTGTAGGTCTGACTGTTCAAACGTTTTTTAAACGCTTTTGTTTAGTTGCTTTTTTACGTTTCTTGTTTTTTTGTTTTTCCTTTTGTCGTTCCTATAGGATTCCTCAATGAAACGAAAACAGCCTTTTTTCTTGCCTTGTCTTAATGCTTTAAAATAACCAAACTGGAGTTCTAACTACCAAACTTGTTCGTTAAAAATGAAAGCCAACCGACTTTGGTTACAACTTTGCTGTCTTTAATTTTAGCTGAATGGTTCTGTATTCTGTGCTTTAAAAAGCAGTTTTCCTATGTTTTTTGGTGCAAAAACATTGTCGAGTGTCCCTTTCCTTAGAGGTATGTCTGTAGCTCTTTTTCTTTTTTTGTTCGTTTAGAAACAGAAATATAATTTTTCTCCATTTTATTTATTATGAAAGGTAAACGATTGTACTTCTTCACCCGTGTCAACATTCTCATGAAGTTGAATTGGATTGTGGGCAATATTAGCCATTAGAGTGTGCATGGATCCATATTCAATTATATTCAACATACTGAATCAGTTAATCCTACAAAGTGTCTTTCTTTTTAGTGATACAGAAATGGCCTCCCTCCCTACTTGAATAAAGTTACTGTTTAATGAAAGCACCACAGTTTATATGCTGTAGTCAGCTCTGCCCAGTAGCTTTTTAATTGTATTATTTCAATACAGGGGGGAAAAAAAACCACACTGCCCCTTTTAACTTGAAACTGAGAAATTAATGTTTTAGAAGAATGCATATGATTCTTTTCCACGTTTGCTTTGGGCTGCAAAAACTGCAGAGTTTTGCAGTTTTTCCACCTCTCTTCATCAGCGGAACGGACAGATGGGACGAAGACCCGTGCTGACCAACGCTTTTCACTCTCATTTTGTTACTGAGAGCACAGATGCACAGTCAATCCAAGATGGAGCACTTTGCCCAGACCATCAGCCCCTCAGTACATTTGGAAGAACAATCTGTAATAGCCTCAGCCATAATTCCCATGAAGCATTTCGAGGCCTGTGAGGAGATCTGTTCCTGCCAAAGCGGTGTGGAACAGGATCAGGCCTGGCACATCACTGACTGCGGACACAGGATGAGGCCCTTCAGAAGTCCCATGCACTGAAAAACTAGCACTGACATCAATGTTTGCTTATGTTTAGAGTACATTATTAACTTACTGCATATACTTTATGGTTTAAAATATTATGTGAAACAGTGGCATTTCACACTGTGCTAAACTTCGTTCTAAACCCCGCTTTTATCCACTGATAGCCCTGATAGCACATGTACATCACAGAGATGTCTATTTGACGTCTACATTTACATCTGCAAGATGTTTGCTCATCTGCAATATGTCTATAGACATTTAGAAAAATGTCTTTAAGATATCTATCAGATATTTGTACACAGCAGATGCTTTCCAGATGAAGCGATCTTTAACAGACATCTTGCTGAGTCAGACATGTGCTATCTGGGAGAGGAACGTTTCACACCTATAATTTCGAAGCGAATTTAGCACCGCTTTTTAATCCCACATTGCATTGCCAAACGTGTCAATCAAAGTCATTTTAAGGCAAGTCATTTCACTCGGCGGTCATCTTTGAAACGCCTTTCGGGCATGCAAGTGCAGCTCCTATTTCTTTGAATGGGGAAACATCAAATTCTCCAAAACTGTTCGCCAAGCTTACGATTAAATTTCATATTTGAATTAAATATGACAACTGTCTCATAAATGCTTCTTTTGCTCAAATAGCGTTAAAAAAGCTTATTTTTCAGGCTAGACCAGCCAGTGCGCATGCGCAGTCCTAAACGCGCGTCTCAGAGCATTGACTGTTTCTATAGCAACTGATGGTGCATCTGAAATCATGTACTGTCTGAGTACTACATTTTTTTTTTATTTACTTCACGACTGTTAAAAAAAAGTATGTTGTATATAGTATGAATGAGGGTAGTTTGAATGAAATCCGGATGTGCTACTGTCACGTGACCCACCAGTGTCCGTTTCGTCGCTTCCCTTCCATCCATAAATTCTCTCCCATGGGCTGCGTCCGAAAACTCTAAAATGCTGCCTTCGGAGGCAGCATTCCAAGGCAGGAAGGTATCAAGGCATGTCCGTTCTGCTTTACTTCCTGTCTCGGGAGGTACCATCTTCTGATCGAATTTTGAAGGCAGCATAGATGTATCCTTCGCTGTCTTTGATATCCCACAATCCTGTGCGTTCCATTCCGTGACAGTTGAGCTAAAAAATAAAGATGGCGTCTGAAAGTTGCGTTTGGTGGTCAGTTTGTGTGTAAATGTATATTTATGACTAACTTTTCGCACTTTTGATGTTATTTCTAGCGAGAAATCAGTATTATAGTAATTAAATATTCATTTATCACAAAAACTCGTTCTGTTTTGTTGTAGATCATTAAACCGTTACGCTGCCTCAGAAGCCTGTCTGAAATCAGTTTCATGAGGTGCCTTCGTGCAAAAACGCTGCCTGCAAAGTCATTGCCTCATACGGCAGCGAGGCAGCAAGTCAGCTGCCTAAGTTTTCGGACATACTACTCAGCTACCACACTGTTTTTCACATACTATAAAGTAGGGAAGTATGCGATTTTGGACGCAGCACGAGACTTCTAATGGCAGCTGCAGCTGCAGTGACGTGATGACTTTACCGATTAGCCATTGGCTCTTTTATTCAGAAGGCGGGGCTTCCTTAGATAGAGCAACCATATAGACTCTATATTATAGAGAGTTGCATTTTTCCTTATTCAAAACTATACGAGTGACACATGTTGTGTATTCTATAGTCTTTGGTATCGATGCTGTGTTAGAATGTTCCAGCTAGATGCTTAGCAACCAACAACCAATCGCGTCGCTCTTATTCACATGCTTTTGTACAGTCATGGAAAATCGTTTCAGCTTTTGAGGAGAAAAGAAAAAAAAACTTCATTTGGAGCGAAACCGTTTCATGCCTACACATAGTCCAAAAAGTCCATTCGGAAAAAACCTGATAGTACATTATATATGAGGATAGAGCCATTATGTAAACAGGCTGCGTGCTGCGTTCGTCCAATCAATGACACTGACACCTTAAAATATGCAAATGAGAATGTTAACCAGGGGTTTAGGAAAGTAAAGTATGAAAGGTCAGCATATGAATATTAATTGTTTACCCTGGCTAAATTATGAGCAATGTGAAACATAAAATTAACCCTGGATTTCATTTACCTGGGGTTTAGAATGAAACCATGGTTAACTTTTTAAAGCCCTTTTAAACATTAATATGTTAAATTGTTGTCACTTAACTTCACCATGTTGCTTGTTTAATTCAGTTGCATCTGGTTAGTATGTCAGAAATATTATAATTATAAAAAAATACAATTATAAAAAAATATAATATAATTTTTATTCAAAAAAACAAATATAATTTTTATTCAAATGTGCAAAAATAAGACCTTTTGCCAATGATCAAATAACTAGTAAAGAGTTGAAAAATTACAGCTGATATCACGTCTGGTTTATCTATCAAAATGAGAGCATTGCATTATGGGAATTGGCACAGAAGGTGCGTTCCGATTGACAGGGCCCCTACGCAGTGTTCACTGCTCCCTACTCCCTAAGCACGGGATATCCGTTGAAGTGGACTTCACTGACAATAATCGCTCATTTGGAACGCCCTGGAACGTCATCAAAGAAAGGCAACGACGGGGTCACGCAGATTATTATATAACATAAATAAATATTGTAATTTATTTTATTTCAAATTTAAATACATATAAAATACATTTACAATTATGTAACTAATAAATATAGTCAAAATGTATATGTTTAGACTGTTAACAGATTGTTGTGGTCTCATCTTGTGCGCTGTCCCACATGCAGCCTCAAAGTGAACTCTCCTGAAGTAAATAAAGTAAAATAAACAAATTACAGAGCCTCAGCTCTTTCTCCCTGGTTTTACTTAGTTTCACCTATTCATACAATACAATATGCAAATGTAACATTCATGGCCATAACCATTTATAAATCCTCTAATTTCTATAATAACAACATTTATTGCAACCCCTCCATTGCAGAGCCTTTTAAAAACTCTTCTAACGGCTCTGTTCCATCGTTAGTTCTGACTGGTGACGCGGTGCGCAATGACAGCTGGGTGATTTTCCCTCTCCACTTCTTGTGAAGTGATGTATCGATGTTCCCTTATTCCCTATGCCGTTCGCAGTGCCCTTGGAACCAAACATGTTCACACCCTTCGGATTGGAATCTCACTTAAAATGGCGGAATACCCTGTGAAGTCCACTTCGCAGT